AAAAAGAACACCTGATCGCGGTTAAAGCGAACGTGGGTCCGCGACCACGTTTTAGGATGACGCTTTTCCCCTTACTTTTGACCTCTTCTAAGCGACGACCTGACACAACCTGATCTCAGTCTGTGATCGCTTTAAATATACTACGCTAATGTTAGCTAAAACAGTATCTCCTGCTTTTGTCAGCCAAAAGATCTTAAAATGCGATAAGCCAAGACACCAGCAATGTCTTGTTTACAAATTTGAATGTGACCTGTGCGATGCAGGTTATGTTGGCTACACATCTCGCCACTTACACCAGCGAATTGAGGAAGACAAAAGCGCAATTTCATCCATCGGCCAGCACTTTCAAAAAACATTTCGTTTGTTCCTTTGTTCCCTTGGTGCCTTGTTATCCTGTTTTCCTGTTCCCTGTTCCTTTATTTCCTTAGCTTGTTCCCTTGTTTTCCTGTTCCCCTGTTCTCTTGTTACTTTATTCCCTTTTCCCCCTGTTTTCCTGTTTCCTGTTCCTTTGTTTCCTTAGCTTGTTCCCTTGTTTTCCTGTTCCCCTGTTCTCTTGTTCCTTTGTTCCCTTTCCCCCCGTTTTCCTGTTCCCTGTTCCTTTATTTCCTTAGCTTGTTCCCTTGTTTTCCTGTTCCCCTGTTCTCTTGTTACTTTATTCCCTTTTTCCCCTGTTTTCCTGTTTCCTGTTCCTTTGTTTCCTTAGCTTGTTCCCTTGTTTTCCTGTTCCCCTGTTCCCTTGTTCCTTTGTTTTCTTTTTCCTCTGTTTTCCTGTTTCCTGTTCCTTTGTTTCCTTAGCTTGTTCCCTTGTTTTCCTGTTCCCCTGTTCCCTTGTTCCTTTGTTTCCTTTTTCCTCTGTTTTCCTGTTCCCTGTACCTTTGTTTCCTTAGCTTGTTCCCTTGTTTTCCTGTTCCCCTGTTCTCTTGTTACTTTATTCCCTTTTTCCTCTGTTTTCCTGTTCCCTGTACCTTTGTTTCCTTAGCTTGTTCCCTTGTTTTCCTGTTCCCCTGTTCTCTTGTTACTTTATTCCCTTTTTCCTCTGTTTTCCTGTTTCCTGTTCCTTTATTTCCTTAGCTTGTTCCCTTGTTTTCCTGTTCCCCTGTTCTCTTGTTACTTTATTCCCTTTTTCCTCTGTTTTCCTGTTCCCTGTACCTTTGTTTCCTTAGCTTGTTCCCTTGTTTTCCTGTTCCCCTGTTCTCTTGTTACTTTATTCCCTTTTTCCTCTGTTTTCCTGTTTCCTGTTCCTTTATTTCCTTAGCTTGTTCCCTTGTTTTCCTGTTCCCCTGTTCTCTTGTTTCTTTGTTTCCTTTCTCCTCTGTTTTCCTGTTTCCTGTTCCTTTGTTTCCTTAGCTTGTTCCCTTGTTTTCCTGTTCCCCTGTTCCCTTGTTCCTTTGTTTCCTTTTTCCTCTGTTTTCCTGTTCCCTGTACCTTTGTTTCCTTAGCTTGTTCCCTTGTTTTCCTGTTCCCTTGTTCTCTTGTTACTTTATTCCCTTTTCCCCCCGTTTTCCTGTTCCCTGTTCCTTTGTTTCCTTAGCTTGTTCCCTTGTTTTCCTGTTCCCCTGTTCTCTTGTTCCTTTGTTCCCTTTCCCCCCGTTTTCCTGTTCCCTGTTCCTTTGCTTCCTTAGCTTGTTCCCTTGTTTTCCTGTTCCCCTGTTCTCTTGTTCCTTTGGTCCCTCCCCTCCCGTTTTCCTGTTCCCTGTTCCTTTATTTCCTTAGCTTGTTCCCTTGTTTTCCCGTTCCCCTGTTCTCTTGTTCCTTTGGTCCCTCCCCTCCCGTTTTCCTGTTCCCTGTTCCTTTTCTTCCTTACCTTGTTTCCTGTTTATCCTGTTCCCCTGTTCTCTTTCTGCTGTTCCCTAGTTTACGCGCAGACGCGGATTGGAAGCGTTATATATCTGATATATCGCAAAACGAAGAACTTTTTCGAGCCGAAAATTTGTTTAAATAAAGTTTTTTAGCTGTTGCGATACCTCTTGACAGTGAATCAGACTGAATACAGGTAGTCTTTCAAACGCCCGTGATACAATTGCTTTCAGCGGATTTTCATCAGATTACCCAGTCTTCCCGAGAATTTTTGGAACATGGCGGCGTGCATTGGTGAAAGAATGTTGTTTGTCTGGTAGAAAAGCAGCTGAATTTGCGGACTTTCAGATCGAATTTGGGAAATCAAAATACTAAGAAAAACAGGAGAAAACTTTCATCCTCAAACGGTGAGTTAATATTTCAGTTTTTGCGTGAAAATTAGCCATGATTACTACTAACCTTGTCCGTTTCAAATTTGAAATTTTCAAATGGCTGTACAGCACTACGGAAGTAACGAAACATATCGCAGTGAGAAGAAAATGTCTTTATTTTGGCGAATTGTTTGAAATCTCATAAGTTGTGAAAGGGTCTGATTTAGAAATAAAATGTAAAGGATAAAATTTTGTAATCATCACTTCGAAGCAAATTATTAAATATCTTGAAAAATTTCGAGGATTGATTTAACTGACTTGTTACATGATACGAAAGCTTTCTCAACCTTTTCACCAACTGTTAAAAATTTACGGTAAAAATTGTTTTCCTCTGTCGAAAGCACTATATTTTGCCAATATATAATTTAAATTTTCACCATTTCTTTAAAAAATGATTTATGATAGCTTCAGCTTCAAACTGTTTTTTTCACTGTTTACAAGGTATTAAGTTTAACAATAATATAATTGTCAATAAATTATTGTGAAAGTTATTGATAATTGTTACAAAAGATTGTACTGTTTTTATACTTGCTTTTCATACTTTTGTCCAGAGACTCATACATACAGTCGAACTTCCACTAACGGTTACGTCTCTGCAATGGCCACCCCTCTACAATGGCCACCGTTTTTGGCAGACTGTCCATACATTAGCTGGGGTCACACTACAGACTTTTTACTTAGGTAAACTCGACTTGTTGACAGTTTACCCAAGCAAAATTGATTTTTTAAGTGTGACCGATTTTTCCCGAGGTAACATACCTTGGGGAAATTTTATCGTCTGGGGCTTGGATATGTCTCAAGGACAACAGACTCTCCCTTGACAACTACCCCAAAGTGATAGCTTGGGGAAAAAGAAATACTGAGGTTGCTAGCCAATAGACGCTCATCAGTGAAGGTCTTGATGACAGAACCGGACATAGATCACGCAGTGAAAGAAATTCTTGGGGCACGAGTCGTCTATGTCTTCGCCTGTTTCACCTTGCATACTGAATTACATGTAGCATAAGAAATAACAGCGAGATAAAAGAAAAAAAACATCTCTTGGATCAGCTAGATCCATGTGCATCTTGCTTTCTTCATTTTACACTCCAAAAAAATCAACTGTGCATGAAAACCTTGGGAGCCAAAATCAGTAGTGTGACCTTCCCAGAATTTTTTACCTAGGTAAAACAAGAGATTTTTGATGAATTTGCCTTAGTTAAATCAGTTTAACCTCGGTAAAAGTCTGTAGTGTGACCACAACAATTGACTCTTATTTAAACCTCTCTACAACAACCGCTTTCCTCTGTCCCCAAGGTGGCTTTTGTGAAGAGTATCAACTGTATCTCCATGATGGCAATTTGTAGTTGCCAAATGCAATTTGTTTTCCGCGTTACTGATCAGATGTTCATGTATTTTCAGTACATTGGTTGAAAGGTCGAAAGACAGTCAAACCCCTTTAATAAGACAACTGTGAACGAGGGCTCATTGAAAGTACCTATATTAACAGGTTGTCCATATTAAGCAGGTTGAATTTAGAGAAAATGTACTGGGCACTGTCTTTCCCGAGGGACAAAGCGAACTGTCTGTCATAATGAGGTGTTTGTATTAAGCAGGTGTCCGTAAAGGTGTCTGTTTGACTGTATGGTTAAACCTCTTCGCAATGGCCACCTTGGGGGTGGTTGTACAGAGGTTTAAGCAACAGTCAATACATGAACTGTCCGCCAGGACAAAAACAAGTGGCTGTTGTGCAAGGAGGCCATTAGGGTTTACTGTATTATTTTATTTTAACATTAACCATTTAAGACCCAATATCCAAATACAAATTCTCCAGACTGATCTCCATATATTTCCTTACAGAATAAGTTGAGCGAATTTGTTTGTAGATCAAGGCTTTTCCCATCAGGTGATGATTTTATTAACTCTCACAACATTTTCTCTTAATTTTGTTGGGAAAAAATGGACTTTTTTCACTCTCGGAACCTCTAGGGTTAACTGAATCTCTTTGAAAGTTCCTGCATTGTGACTATTCAAATGAAACTCTTCATGGCCATTTGATTATCTGGAACTTTGTTTGGATTTGCCATTGGCAGAGATAAAACCGCTGTTACCGGTATTATTCTTGCAGGTCATGCAGGCCAATTCGTTTTACCACAGCCATCCCTACGGGAATTCAGAGTTATACCAGAAAATTTTTAAAGTTCTGGACCAGCTGGGTATGGCCGACTTAAAACAAACTTTTCAGGAACACTGTATTCAGGTAATATTATTTTTCCTTTACAATATCATAATAAAAACACAATACTCTCCAAGTTTGTTTCTCAATGCTAACATTTCTTGTGAAAGTAAACAACACCTATCCTAAAATGTTTTTTGGTTTTAAAAGGACCAGACATTGAGCTTTGTAGAAACAGAAGAGGAACTTAAACAGCTTCTTAAGGTGGGTTTTATACGCTAAGTGTGTATGTTGTGGGTAAAATCTGGTCTCAGGTTGAAGCAAAGTTTACATTAACAACTATTAATAAATAGGGCTTGGAAACAAAGCCAATTTTGAGTCATAATAGGTTGAATACTGATTTTATGTGAGAACAGGTTTACTAACAACGTGTACACTCTTCAGTGCTTTAATTAGCAGACTTATCAAAGTTTTTTATATGTATAATCAGCACTCAAAATAATGGCCAGTCAACAATAGACAATGTCCAGCCAAGATGAGCATTTTATTTTGTTCAGACAAACTTTTGGTCTACCAGTCATTTTGATAGAACATGTCAACTGTATACATGCATGGATTTGAAATTAGTGACAAGGAAACTAAAACGTATTTTGACATCATTACACCATTATATATTCATTGAAACAGACACCCTGTTTCTAGAGTGATTGACCTTTCGTAGAATGGGGAAATGATGCGTGGCACGATTTAAACTGCACTTTGGCTGCAACCAAGATAGCTGTTTAATTTATGGATTTCTGCCTTGTCCGCTGTTTTCTGGAGCTTCAAGATGTTTCATTAAAGAGCAACAAAAACTGAGAGAAGAAGAAGTTATGTTTTAAAAGTTTATTAACAATTGTTCACTTCTGTTGTATGATAGACAACACAACCTGGTTTTACGATTCAAAATTGGGGGTATTTTTCATTTTCTGATGTGCAGGTCTGGCAATCAAAAACTTTCAACTTTTAAAACCTTTTATAGTCAATTTTGCATAAAAAATCTCACTATCACTGTAGTGAAGAAAGCAAGTGAATCTTTCTGTTCACCTTCTGCTTGAATTCCGTAAGAACAGAAAAATTTTTACTCCTAGAGTAAACTTCGGCATATCTTAGTATTTATCTTTGTGAGCTTTATGCCGCGTTTTACGTGTCTTCTTGCAATTTGCTTACAATTTTTCGTCAACTTGCTTGTTGAGCTCATTCAGGCCATCTTCCATCTCCTTCACATTCGCTCTTGTTTCAGACTGATTCACATTAAGTTGATGGGCTCGAGCTTCCAGCTTGTTAAATTTCTTTTCTAGACTGGAGACAGGAAGAAATGTGTTTAGCCTGTGAGCAAGCTGTCCTTTGGGGGATATTGTGAAAAGTAGATGCATGAGAAGAACATGGGAGGAGACATGAAAGTGGGGTGCGGGGTAGTATTTTTCAGTTTCTGGTGTGCAAGTCTGGCAAACAAAAAATTTCAACTTTTAAAACCTTAAGTCGATTTTCAAAACAAAAATCTCACTTCAGGTTCTATTTCAGAGAAATAAATGTATAAATAGCGGAAAAATGTTTTCTTTTTTATACAGGAAATAGGTATACCTATTGGTAGATGCATTCCAATCATAAAATTGTGGAGTAAAGGTTATACTTATCAAGGTAGGTTATGCGGTTGTTAGATATAAGTGGTAGAGCTTATCCAGCCTTGAAGAGAATAGGGCATGATGATCCTGAATGCCTTGTCACGGCTGTCCAGTTCATTTTTGTTAATAATGCCAATTACACGTCCTTATTTGCAATGGATCTTGAGAAATGACTTGTGAATGACTAAATCACAGCTTCCTGTCTAACAAATGTTAGTGAGTTTACGCAACAGGGAGGCAGAAACAAGAGGACGGCTAAACACTGTGTGACAAATTTGACAGGGCTATTACTTGTGTGTTTTGGTGTGATCTTCACTTAACACCCGTGTTTTCTGGTCCTTTACAAAAAGATCTGTTTAAAAAGAAAGTGAAGTTTGGCGAATGGTTTTTTCAAACAAAATTATTGTCACGCTTGTCGCATAAGGGTTGCCATCTTCTTTCCTCTCCTGTCCTGTTGCGTAAGTTCACTATTATCTCAAAGAAGCATTATATCTAAATTTGTTATAAACCACAAAAAATGAACTTTAAAAAACTCTTAGGCTACCAAGTTTTCGAAACCTTTGCAAAGGAGGGGGAATAAAACAGTTTTTAGTGCTATGTTTCTTCTGTTCCCTAGTATGAAAGTAGCCGGGGGGCCACATTCATAGTAGCCGGGGGAAATCCCTGGCCCCTGCCGCTTAATGACAGCCCTGCAATCTGTTTCAATTTTGTTCAAGCTTGTCTTCTTTTGTATTTTACTGTGTTATTTCTATCCCTTTCTAATGGTTTGAGCGGCTATTTTTATGTTTCACTCATGTTGGTGCAGATAATAGTCTCACTCACAGCCATTTTTGTTTTGTCACGCAATGCTGGGGAGGAGCGTTGCGTGGTGAGACAAAAACTTCTGCCTGGGAGAATAGTGCAGCTCTCACTGTTTGAATTTTGGTTTATTTTGTGACCCACCTCTTTTAATGTTTAATAATCATCTCTTCTTTGTCATTTTTACACTGAACTTTGACTTTGTTTTATCGTTCCCATAGAACAAGTAACACATCAAGCAAGAGTTCAAACAGCAGAAAAATCTTTTCAAGTTACTGTGGAGACATCTGATGCCTGTACACAGACTGATGACGATATGCCGGTGTTAACGAATGAAGATTATAGCAAATTAATTTCAGAAATGAACTTGAATTCTCAACAAGAAATCTTTAATCACTATGCTGCCCAGCTGGCTGGGGGACATAACGAGACCCATTCTGGGTCATTAAACTCACCTTATAGCGCACAGCAAGTGGATCCTTATTTAACTGCGCAGATGTGGGGTTTAGGTCAATACCAAGATTATGCTGCCAATATGTATGGTGCCTTCTTACAAGCTCCCGTAACAAGCATTCCTGCGGGTATGGTAGTGTCAGAAGCTGTTGCCAGTCAAGCTGCTATAATGTTTAATCAGGAGGCTGGTGATGCGAACCATGTCGCAAAGCCAACACCAGCCCCTCATGTGCCTTCTCACAACCCAACTCAACATCGTAGAACATCTGCTAGCCTTCCGTCATCACCTAAGGATATTGTTGACGAGAGAGAAGACCTGGAAATTGAACAGTCACTTAAAGACTTTGAAAACATGGAATTGGAAACTCAGCATTCGTATGCCTCGGCACTTAATTCTGGTGAGTCAGGGGGTTGGGTGGAGATATGTGTAATTTGTTATAATTCTATTTGCTCAGTATTAAATGGTTGCACAAATAGAATAGAAAAAATTAAGCGGTTGTCTTTCTTTCCTTAGAGCACTTGGAAAAGTAAATTTATACAAATATATTGCTTAAACAGGGTGCGCACAATCTTAAAAAGTCTTGAACTTCTTTTCAAGTCCTCGAAAAGTCCTTGAATTTTCTTCAGCTTTGAATGAGGTGGCCCGGAAAGTGATTTTTAATGCTTTTTCGTTCTCCAAGGCAGAATACTGCATACATGTAAATCATAGCTCAGAGATGTTCAAAGTGATTTACTCAAAAGCGTTTTTTGTTTTATGCAAGAAATAACTTTAAGACAGGTGAACTGAAAAATGTAGAGAAGTTGGTGGAGGAAACAGTTCAAGCCTTATGGACTGAGAATGTGCATTTTTTTACAATTATGTGCGAAATTACATTCCTGGTAGGTGGTCTTTGAGAAGTCCTTAAAAGATGGTTGCAATTTTTCGTATGAACCCTGTTAACCCTTTAAGCTCCAGGATCAACATACAAATTCTTCTGACTGATCTCCATACGTTTCTTTTAAGAATAGTTGAGAGAATTTGGTTTCAGATCAAAGCATTCTCCCTTTGGTAATCAATTTAGTAATTCTCATAACCTTTACTCTTGGTGATCTGCTGATGATGTCGGGAGAAAATTGATATTGATCACTCTCTTGTAATTGTAGTCGTCCTCGTCTTAGAATCTAAAGCTCTTATTGTGATTCAAAAGAGATATAAGAGACTGCTCGCAGTCTATCGGGAATTCTTCGTGGTGCGCTCTTGGGTAGGAGAAGTTAAACTGACCTGAAGTTCACCTTTCTATTACTTGTTTACAGACAGCGCAGGTCTCAGCCAAGAGAGTCAACATAGCTACAGTTCAATTACGGAACACCCCCCTTATTATAGTTTGTCTTCGCAAAGGATTCAAACCACCTCTAACAGTCACCCCCTACCTCGACATCCCCCACCTGCAAGATCTGTACCTTTAGAAAAGACAGAACCCAGTCAGTTCTCAAAATGTGATGATATATCCGTGCAGAGCGGAGTGGCGCGCTTATCCTCAAGCCCACAGATTGTAGGTCCCCAGACACTGCAGGGATATTTGGATAGCTTACCTGAAACACCCGAGTACAAACAGGCCATGCAGAGCCGCAATCCCAAAAAGGGTTGGAAACCGCTAGATGGCAAACACATTACAACTGGGAAAAAGGTAGCGTTCAAGCCAATATTCTGGGATAACGAGGGACGGATGCGGCATGGTGTACGCGTACGGGGATCGGATAAATCCGAAGAGTGCTGGCGTCATGTCGAGGGTAAAGCACCGGCTGGATGCACTTTTGCGCATTCTCGCCTCGGGGACACCCTGCAATTTATCTGTGTCAAGTGCACGTATGAGAAAGGCCGCAATGAGTGGTGCTCGGATAAAATGAAGCATAAACAGTACATTTTTAATCTTGGAGCATATAGGAACTTAGAGGGAGGAATCTGGAAGAAGACCTCTTAACAAGAACAGTACTACTTTTCAGGGAAGTAATAATTAACAATTCAATCTCACTTATGTCAAAAACACGACAGCCTTTGTGCATGCAGTGGAATGAATGACCAACGTTTTTGGGGCAATAGCAGCAAGAGTGACCTGAGGAATGTTACCGGCCGTTTCGATACAAAGTCGTTTTGATACAAGTTGTTATGATACAAATAATTCATTCGAGGAGAAAAAAGTTTCATGTCCTTGGCTCCAAAAAAGAATAATAATCACTCAAAATGTTTTTCTTGTTTACGCGTAAGCTGTACTTGAAGTGCGCAGAATATTCACCCAAAATGTTTCTCTTGTTGGCGCGCAAACGTTACTCGAAGTTAACGAAATTTTTGTGTAATTTCATTGCTTGAGTTCGTATCGAAACGACCGGTCTCTTGTAGCATTATAGTTAGCTCTTCTTTTATCATTTCGCCCCATGTAATTTAAAACAGATTTCGGAATCTTTGAAATTTTTGCTTGTGGAACTCGGAATCCAGGAAATTCCTTGTGGAATCTAGAATCCCGGGCTTTGGAGTCCATAATTCAGCCCAAGACACCCTGAATCTCGCTAATGATTGGAATCGTAATCCACTGAGTCCCATGACAAGGAATCTGGAATCCAGTCACAGGTGTAATTTGGATTCCAGGGTGTCTGGTCGTTTCGCTATAAAGCGTAAGTCGTTTCGCTGCATAATGAAGTCGATTCGTGGCAAAGCATTTTTCGTCTCGCTACATACTAGAGTAAATTCCCTTCATAGTTAACTCGTTAGTAGTATCCGTTTGGTTGTTAAAGTTAATTCCAAGTGTCTTAAAAGCGGTGTTATACAAAAATCAATTGCATCGCCATCCGGACATGATGCAGCGAAAAGACTTGCCGCGAATCGACTTCATTTTGCATCGAAACGACCTGTAAGCGAATTCAGGATCCAAGACTGTCTTGGATTAACTTACGACGAATCCTTTCGTTTTATCCTTAGTGACAAGCTAGGTGGGTTGTGTTCCAGTATTTATGTCCAGTATACTCCATTGGACTCCAGTTATCTACAGCTAGAATTCACTGGAGTTACCGGAAGTCAAGTCCTAAAGTACTTCGTTTTTTAGGCCATGACCTGAGACAAGTATCCTACACATGTTGCAGTATCCCTCTTGTCTTGATTCATAGCCTGAGAAAAGCACACTACACTACACACCATAATTGACATTTTTATGTCTCCCGCAAATAGAGATGAAAGAGTCCAATGGAATCAATTCGAATCTCCAGTGGCCGGGAATCTAGTCGCGGCATTGGACAAGTCTCGACGTCAAACTTAAACGAAAAATCCCAACTGAATTACGAAGCATTTTCCTTTACTTGGTGAATCCATAGGATTTCACCCACAGTCTCCAAAGTTAGAATTACGTTGCAATCTCCATTTCAATCTGGGGGTTAAATTTGAAGCCCATAGTGTTGTGTCAGTGTAATTCTAACTTTTGATTCATTTCTGTGGTTGGTTATGTAATGACCATTTTAGTCTGTTCTCTTATATGCACCATTTTCAGTGTTTTTGCAAAAGGAAAGGAAGTCGTGTGCCTCTCTTTGGTCTGATTTGGGTAAGCTGACACGGTTCTTTACAGTAGTAGACGCGTACGGCTTCGCGTGGTTTAGCGAACGAAGGCAAATGCATGACGCTTTTTTAATGTTTTAGCGAACGTGAACTCCTACGACTTTTGATTGGTTTGGCGAACGGAGACAGACGCGTGCGGCATGTTTGGTTTAACGAATGAAGATAAACGCGTGCGGGTTTTGATTGGCTAAGCGAACGGAGATAAAGGTGTGCGATTTGGGCTGGGCTCGCACTTTCATGTTTGCGGTCACACATCGGTAAATTGACCAAGGGGAAGAAAAAGCTTGAACCCTGTTTCGACGGAAACGTTGTTGTAAACGTTGAAGGCTGAAATAAATCGTAAACGGTTTCGACCATTTTTACCCTTTTCAGTAAAAGCGTCACATCAATTAAACTTGGCAAGAGCGATTCAGCCCTTAATTTTGAGACTAAAAAGGAATACGTCGACTTCATTCGCGCTTGAAAGAAGAGCAAATTCTAGCCTAAACTCTCGCTCACAAGTCAAAAGTACGGGTTTACTAAAATGATTGCAACGACCTTATAAGAAAAGAATTCTTGAACACTTATTTAAAGAAAACTTGTGAGTGTTTCAAAGTGCTTTTAAATTTATTTAACGTAAAAACTTGAAAAACATCCACAACAGTGCTCAAAATCATGCTGAATTTTCGAACTTTGAGGTCAGTTTTCGCGTAGGATTTGTCGCCAAGACGAACTCAGCACGTAAACAACACGTGATTTCTACTGCTTAGTACATTTCACTTTCTCGTGATTGGTTGGGCCGCTTCTGGGTTTTTCTTGCCCAATAGAACGTACCTCGGGAACTGTCATGGGTAATACTTTTGTTCTTTTTGACGTATCCATGGAAATTTCCCCGAGGAAATCGGTCAAAGAGAAATAGTTGCTTCCCCATGGGCAACAGTAATTTGTCCATGGGTAAAATGGCTATTGTGAGCGCAACTATTTGTTTAGCGAACGGTAGTCAACGCGTGCAGCTTTTAACGGAGACACACCGTAATTTTTAGGGAGTTATTATAACTCCAAAAATGGAGTAAAAATTTTAGGTACAGGATAACCCCTTTTTTGGGGTTATTTTAACTCCTAATTTAACTCCGAATTTGGGGTCATTTTTACTCCTGAAAAAGAGTTCTTTTTACTCCCAGTCTTGGAGTTAAAATTACTCTGAAATGGGGTTACTTGTACTCCTTACAGGGGTTGTTTTCACTCTTTTTGGAGTTAATTTAACTCTGAAAGGGGAGTAAAAATTTTAGGTACAGGATAACTCCTTTTTTGGGGTTATTTTAACTCCTCAATATCTGGGGTCACTTTTACTCCTGAAAAAGAGTTCTTTAAACTCCTTTTTGGAGTTAAAATAACTCCACGAAAAATAACTCCACTGTAAGGAGTTAAATTAGCCCCACTAGAGGAGTTATTATAACTCCCTGAAAATTACAGTGCAGGGCTAGATACATGAGGCTTTAAAAAGTCCCTTTTTAATCTCTTCTTAAAAATTTCCCAAAACGGACAAATCGTAAAGCCGTTGTAAATCTGGCTCACACAAAATCCTTGGGCCCACACCTTTTTAAAGAACTTTTTCATAATTGATCCCTTACTAATGATAATAGTTTCACGAATAGATAAATGACCGCCTTTTGAAGGTTCAACTTGTTCACTAATTTCCAGGTGCCGCGTGCGTTTTCGAACGAAGTTACTTTTAAAAGTGCTTTAGCTTAAAAGCACTAAAAATGAAATTTCTGACTGTCATTTAGTTTTAACTCTTTGGTAAAATAAACAGTTAATACTGAAACGTAATAAAAGAACACAAAAATGCGCTGAAAAGATTTACAATTCATGGTTGTGTTTGCCTTTCAACAGCGTTGGATCTTTTTAGTGTAGTTGCCATGGTATATTTTCCAGCCATTTTCGCGAAGCGTCGAGGTATGTATCTAGCACTGTGCAACATCTTGTTGCAAATTCAATATGATAATAATTTCCGACTACTAGTAAACACCAACAAGTCCAATTTCGTCACTTTCTTAGTATTTGTTGATACAGCTGCTTCAGCAGCTAATATGTCGTTCACGGAAAGCTACATTAGCTTCTGCCCCCAAATGAAACAGTGAATAGCCAAGGAGATCCCGACTTACGGGAACCAATCAACACGCGCGAAAGTTGCTATGCATTGATTTGGAAAATACTATCGGTTTTCCGTATCTCTTACGGATATTGCCGATTTCTTTGCAATCACCTTTCGCACATTTCCGCTAATCGCGGAGCAAACTGCAAGGTACACATGAATTTAGCTGAAAAGTATACAGAAAGGCAGAAAAAATCTTACTATCGCACGACAATCTTGAATATTTTGTACGAGTAAAAGTGTAGAGCTTTGAAGGATCCCAGGCCTTATTTGCGCGCTCAATTATCCTAGAGAAACAAATAAGGGATTTATCGTGGTCTTGTACTCTAGAGTCTTCTCTATACCCCCGTGACAAAAATGACATCCCCGCTGTTCTTCATTAACGAGACCAATCACAACTCGCCAGCGGTTCATTTTATTCTAAAATTTGTCATTACAATATTATTTTCCACGCTACATTATTTTCACAAACAACTTTGAAAAAACAATAAATAATCATGATTAAATGTTTTTCGCTCTATAAATACTCTTCACATGCTTTTCACACGTCTACAGTTCACGTCTAAGGTTGCACTTGGAGTCCACTCTCTACAACTTCTCTGGACATCCTTGTACAGCTTTGCACAGCACACGCAAACTCAGCTCATCTCAGCTAATTTTTTTAGCTATTTTAATGTCGCAATCAGCAGTTCAATATTTTCCAGTTTCTTTTGCCCGTTGTTTTGAGTCAGAGCTGCTTCCAAATGTAACCCACGATGAACCCGAAAACGCGTCTCTATGTTATCGCCAATAACACGAAGCAGAAAAGCAACTTGTCCACTCGCTGATCGTATGTCTTGGTGTACGAGCTGGTGGCTTGGTGACGTTGACTCGTTTTGTCTTTCATAAAGCAGCATGTTGATCTCTTTCTTCCTTTTTCTTCCTCTGTAAATTACAAAGAATACAAAAATAAATACATGAGTATTTTTCTCCAAGGGTTCCACTGCTATGTCATATATAGTTGTGTGATAACGCGGAAGTGTACTTTTTGTTTGTTTGTTTGTTTGTTTGTCTTTTTACCACCTAGCGCGCATTCTAATCGTCACGTCTTCATCACTCCCCTTGTTTACTAACTTAATCTGAGTGGCCCACAAACTGTAGAGTTCCGCTTTGGCAAATGAAATTTGCCATTAGCAAAAGTTTTATTTAAAACAACTGAAAGTCAAGCCCAAGCGAACCATTTAGAAATGTTTTTGCTAGCACGGGAAATTTTCAGTGACGAAAGTACCATCTAGAAAATGTCGGAACGAATTTCCTTCTCAAAGGTTCAAGAGATGAAACTGACTTGGCTTAAACATGCTTAAAGCGCCTCTTTTTTATCTCTAGGAGCATGAAAGCAAGTAACGTACAAGAAATTTACAATACGTGTTTGTTTCGTCCGCCAAGAAAGTCGTATCAAGTAATGGGCTATTGTACCGGATCAAATTCCTCAAAACAATAGCCTTTTGCCCTGGGTGTTGCTACCGACGGAAACCACACCGAACAGTCTGTGCATAATCGTTTCATCTTCGGCGTGACAAATTTATAATATAAGGGGCAGGAGAGAGGTTTTTGTTCTGACACGATGCTATTTTAACCGGGTTCTGAGGGGAAAGTTACGTCGAATGCTGAATAAACCACTTTAACTGTAAATAACTCGCTGAAGGAATGGTAATTTACTGAGTGCGTCTATTAGTTATTTAAACGAATCAATGTAGCGCGAGATTTTGAAAGCTGAAATTAAAAACTTGTAAAATCATGAAAAACTGAACACATTTATACGGCTTCAAGAGAGAATGAAACAACCTTTACCCATGTGTAACCGAACCGATAAGGTGACGATCAGTATTTTTAGCCGCCTCCGCCTAAGTGAATTTTGCTTCGAGGCAAATGTAACTCTGACCCTCTCCCCGAGGAATTTTGTTCATTACTTCACACTCGCCGAAGTTTCAAATTTGCCGCCTCGGTAG